TCCTTATGTCAAAGCTCATGAATAGGGAGAAGGTGGCCATGACAGCAGAATTTCTCACTAGGGTTTAGATATTACTCATCATCTTTCACAGGTCAGCTGTGAAATTAAATTAAATAAAGAACTCTTTATTTAATTTAATTAAAAAAAGAACTCTTTTTAAATTAAAAATTGTTCCAATTTTATTTACACTTTGAGAAAACTACCCATTCAACCTTTCTTCACATACTTCAGTCTGTTTAGTGCAGAATCCCTAAGAATTACAAGAATAAAACTAATAAACCAGATTTGGGCCGCTGTGGGACCAGCATTACAGAACCCCTTTTACTTACACACAGGCCCTGCAGCCCTGCCAGGAGCCCTGAGCTCCTGAGGACACCCATTCCTGAGCTCAGAAATCCCTCACACTCTGCCATGGGGCACTCTGTGGGGTGCTGCAGTAACCACCTCAGAGCCTTCCAACCATCCCAGATATCTTCCAAGATATTAAACATTCAGGTCAGTGGCCTTGGAAACACTTTTAAGGAACTGATAACATTTTTTAAATTTGAAGTCTCTTCTGTTATCTCCAGTTTGTTTTCTCATGCCTATGCATAAGCTACAAGACTATTTCATAAACACTTGGAAAAACTAAAAGTGTCCTTGGACATAGACTGTGCACTAGAAGTAGTGACTGTCCCTTTTGAAAGCTACTTTACATAACATTAAAATAGAATGTCACTAAAGAGAAAAGTGCAACATTTTGTTGTTCAGTGGAAACACTTTGGATAATGCTAAAATAAAGTCTCTAGTGGCTTCTGAAGTAGTCAGTTCAGTTGTTTAGCAACAACACCTTTTGGTTTGTAAAGCTTCTACAGTACCTAAAATTAGCTAAGAGAAGAAAGTTTAAAAAGTTTTCTCTAACTAGCTAAAACCACTTGCTGTAGCTTGAATCAAGTCAAAGTTCCTAAGAACAACCTTCTTTTGAGATAACACATTTTTGAATTACTACACTGTAATTTTTGTACACTGCATCAGGCAATGGCTACTGCAACTTCTTACAACATTACCAGCTTCCTAATAAACATGTGCATGAAGCGGAACAGGCCATACAAGTTATAATTCTTTGGCTGTGCCTGGTAACATAAACAGGTCTGATACCATCAGAGGAAGAATTGAGGAATTAAACCCTCCAAAAGACTGATGTAAAGGATTGGACATGCTAAAAGAGATGGTGAAAAGAGGCTGCTAAGAAATGGAACAACATTCAGTAGAGAAGCAATAGATCCACAAATGGAAATAAACATAACCATGAGAAAATGCTTTATCAACATAAGAGCCACAACGGAGCTGTGAATTTCAAAATAAGCAAAAACTGTTTTGAAGAAAAAAACCCAGCATGGTAGGTACGACTTCAAAGACTTTACTATAACAGACAGAAATGAACAATACAAAAACTACAAAAGAAGAGAGACAAAAAAAATCCTACTAAGACCAAGATCAACTTACTCTACATCCCTGCTATAACCCTGTTAACCCTTTGATGCCAGTGCTGTGGAACCATTTCGGTAATTACAGACAATAAATATTTCAGCAGCACAGCAGTTGCTGCCTCCAGTCAGCTCCCCAGCCTGCTCTCGAAGCCTGCACCCCTCTCTGTGTGTCTGCAGCACCTGCACTCCCCTCCCTGCCTGGAGGACACAGCAGCTCCCCTGCTCAGCCCTTCTCATCCTGCTCCCAGCCCCAGACTGCACAATTGATGTGTCAGAGAGAAGCCACAACCCCTGTGCCCTGGGTGCAAACCCACCAGATATTGTATTTCTAATTGCAGACATTAGGAAACAATACATTCAAAAGAGGAGCACGCAATAGGTAATTAAATGTCATAGTGGTTCAAGGGTAGAAGAAGCAGCTATTATATGAAATACCAGTTTTCTAAGGTCAAAAACAGGTACAAAATAAAATTTTAACTGGATTAAAGCCAAACAGCAGGTAAAGCTATGGTTTCATGAAAAATACACTGCAGATTTCTTGTGTCTTCGTTCTAAATCATTGACATGAGGAGGATCTTTGCCGCTGGCTTTAGCAGAACAGAACTAGCTAGTAATGGACTAAAAGTCTTCTTAGAAATTTCAAAATGATTTTGAATCCTGAGAGAATACACAGTGCCATTGGTCTGCAGTAAGGTAGGGTGGAGAAGGGAAGTTTTAATGGTGCTGGGGGAGCTGAAAACTAACTGGCTGACATGAAAAACTATACATGGAAAAAGAGATTTAGGCAAAAGAAGATTGAAGTCTACTGCTATAGGAAAACAGAAATGAAATTTTCATGGAATTTACTTTTTGATATCTTTGCACGCTGATTTCTATTCTTTTGTTGGCTGTTTTCCCAGCCAACAAAAGAAAAGACAGAAGACTTCCAGACAGAAGACTTCAAAAGCTTTTCACCCAGGAAATATTTATCATGATTCATACACTTTTAGATGACTATTTCAATCCTCTTTTTCAAATAATTTTGGTAACTATTGAAAAAGTGTGTATTGTTTTGCTCCAGTATATAGTAAGCTGTAAAAACCAAATTCTGTGCACAGCAGAACCAGATTTGCTATTATTTTAGACAGTCATTTTCACAGAAGAACCTTTACATGTCATTACTAATGACATTACAACCCTCCCCAGCTGCCCCCAAGACCTAGCTGTTTTGTAGCAGACATTATTTGACATCTTGGTTTGCAATCTCAGAAAAAGCCAAGAGAACAGAAACTGTCCTGTCAGAAAACAACAGCTTCAGAAGCTGGTAAATATATCACATTTCTATGGCGATGTGATCAAAATCAGAATGTTTGAATCCAGAGTTGCCTGCTTAGTGATTAATTGCAGATGTCAATACCAAGAGGTACCTGCAAGGCAATTAGCACTGTACTTGCCTAAATGTCACCGCACTGTAAATACAGAATGGAAATAAATAGACAGATTGGCCTGGTGCATGTTGTTTGGATTTGGAACAGGAATATTGGAAATGTGGTTCCTAACCAAGCCAATTTTTTATTCTTTGCTGCTGATTTGCTACAAAAGACTTCTCTCTTTCTTTTTTCCTGGAGTACCGGGAGGTTAGTGCCACCCAACTCTCAAAATGCCACCTGGCGATCCTTACTAACCAAAACCATCCTCATAGGAATTAATCCCAGCAAAATGCAAAAACAAACGAGAAGGAACCTGTACAAATTTCTGCACGTGAGGGTGCAAATGCTGAGACTAAGGTACAATTTTGTTTGCCATTGGAACCTAAATTGATAAATTTTATTATTTGCTGTACAGTGGCTGTTTACTTTGATAATACTTTTCTGTCCTGCCTGTCCCAGTTTGGAGTCATGTCACCAACTGCAAAGGGAACCACAGCTACAGGCTGAGAGTTAGGGAGCACACAAACAGAGGCTGATGTCACTGCTGTGCAAGACTAAATATATATTACCATGATATATGTCAGACTGACATTTCATAGTTTAACTTCTATAAAAGGGAAACAATAACACGGACCACCCTCCTCCACCCCTTTTGGGGATTCAGTCATGTTTCATCAGTTGATTAAAATCTGGAAAGTAATTGTTTCTAAAGAGTGGGAGGAGGGCTTTTCTTTTCATCTCATAGCCAAGATTTTATTTTTTCCAGTATTTTTCTCCTTTAAACATATTAGCTGCTGGTGGCCTTTGAAAACTAGAGGATCAGATAATGCTGGCTCTCCTTCTTTCCATCTGCTAGCCTGCATAATAAGAAAACTAATATATATATTAAATTCTTATGTTAAAAAACTAATTAGTACAGATGCAAGAATCTCATGGCCATGAAGGATTTTGTGACAGAACTCTCTTAAAGCTCATCTATAAATTTGGAAATCCTTGCCTATAAAGGTCTTTCATTAGTAGCACACGCTAAACAATGATCACTGCTGTACAATGAGAGACAAATTAATGAATCAAACATTACAGATTTCATCACATTCGCTCATTTGCATTTAAGCTGGTTTCCAGCTCTGTCATGCATTTGCTTTTAAACGAGCCCCTGTGGATAGTGCTGCAATGTTTGATTCATTAATTTGTTTCTCAGTGTACAGCAGTGCTCACTGTTCAGTATACGGTGAAATACTTTGAAAATATTTGTTTTAACAACCTATCCTTTATTTTAACAAAGAAATAATAATCCTGAAGAAGGAAATGCTGGCCATTTTGCAACGCAGCCCCTGCCAAATCTCCCAGTTGCTACCCCAGCCCATCGTTATACCACTGTGATATTATCTGGATTAAATCTTCACAGCTTGCTTTCACATACTCTACAATTTCATAAAGCTTTGAGCCAGCTTTTTGGGTAGGAATTATGATGCCAAATTCAACTCCTGGGAAGTTGAAGGTGGCTTTAAGCCTTTGCTCTCCAATCCTTGGACCAGCCCCAAGCAGTGACTTAGATCAGCCTCCCGGACGCTCGGTGACATTCTGCCACCACTGTGCCCAGTGCACCAGCTCCTCCACACTACAGCAGAGCTTGGCAAAGCCATCTCTGTGAGAGCTGCAGAACTTTGGAGCCGGCTTTTGGTTTGTAACAGCTTGAATTTGGTGACCTTACAGCACGCTGAAAGCACCATCTGTTTTAGAAGAAAAGACAGGCGTGCTCCCTGGCTGGTCAGTGCACAGAGATGGGTGTTCTGGTAATTAGATGTGTGGCTGAGTTCTGAAGTTCTTGCCTGAACCTCAAATTTTATGTATTTGACTACAACATGGTTGTGGCAATCATTGCTCATGTTTAAATCCAAAGAAATAAATACTTATAGGTATAAAGGCACGTTGCAGCCAGGTTTTTGGCCACACACAGGAGGTGGTTATTCTCATTTTCAGGTGTATTCAACACCACTCTGAATCTACACCTGCTGGAACACAAATCCAGCGGTCACCTATGTTTTAATGGCAAACAGGTGAAATTAGATACAACCTAAGGAAATAATGTAAGGTTTATTTAGACAAAACAGATTGCTTATGGTACCTATGAATTTCCATCACTTGTGTCTTATTCCAGACCACAGGCTAAGCTGTCAGAGCTGAGGTAGTTTCTTTTGAGGTGGTGCTATGAAAATCAGCATAATTCTAGTTAATTCTGTCTCAGCTCTTCCAAATACTTGTATTTTCAGTTTTGTTTATTTGCTAAAAAAAAACCCATTCATCAATGTGCAAACAAACTAACGGTCTTAAACTGTGAGTATGAAAGAGTCCTGCCGTACTTCTCACTGATATCCTTTCCATTTAAAGAAAACTCACATATCAGTTAAGCTCACCTGTTAATTAAAAGCTTGTCTGGAAAATTCCTAGCTAGTTGGAAGCAAAAGAAAGTGTAAAAACTATCTGAATGCTGGAGCTTTGAATTTTAATTACTTACTCCAAGGTTTGTTTGTGATCCCTCAGGTGTTGGCTGGGCAACAGCAAAGAACTGAAAAAAAGAAACAAAATTATTTTGTAATTCCGGCTGTGGGAAAGAAAATGTATTGAGAAGGCTTCTAATTTTCTCTTCTTATCTTGTTTAGATTTACTCTTTATTAATGTACTTTTAAGGTAGTATCTGCACAAAAAGAAAAAGATTCTGGAAGATTACAGGCAACTACAGTGAATAATTGTTCTCTAGATTTTATATATTATTTTTTTAATAATATGAGAATTCCTATTGTGTTTGCCTCACAATGGAGAATACAATTATAAATGAGAATAATGCTTACAAATTTGGAATAAAGGCTACAGTTTATCTCAGATCATCGATTATATATATGTATTAAATTTGATGTGCTGTTTATTTCATGTGCATCTATATAGAAAAGATATTTGCAGTTTTAATAAAAACTTGGGCACTTGTAGGAATTTGATTCCTCTCTCTAGCTACCCATATAATAATAGCTGGGGTTTTGACCATTTTCTTTCCTTCCTATGTTTTTAGAAAAATGATCTTTTTTAACAGAGCAAAATACTTCATCTAGAGAAAGAGAGTCTGTGAACTGAACATGGAGGTAGGGGATAGTTTTTCTGCTTTTCCTCATTAAAATAATCACCCCCTACAAAGTCACAATATGTTAATAACATTAATTTTTAGTGCCACTTTATTAAGGATAAATATCTACGATTCTGATTTGGATCAGCAATTTTTCTGGTAGGAAAAATCATTTTGACATATTACAGAGGAACTTAAGAGATGACATGAGGTTTCTGATGAATCTTTACATGTGAAAAATTTGGCCATGTGAGTCAGATGAAGATTTACAGGAGTTCTCCAAGAACTGGGATGAAGGCTTCCATTTTTTTCTCAACACACACACAGAGCATGCACACACCTGTTTAAAAAATCCAGTTAACAGTTAAACTACTATTCTTGCAAATGGACTTGCAGGCAACTAGATGACAACAGAAAAATTTAATTGAAGTAACTCTGCTCATCATAAGTCAGTTTTCTTCCTCAACACACTTAAGAATTTCAAATTGAAAAAAAAAAAAAAGGTCAAAAATAACATAAATAGTAAACAGTTTATATATAAGCCAAATCCATATTTATGGAGTAGAAATACTAAGCAGAATCTGAGCACATGTGAGTGCAGCAATTCGAGTCTGGTACAGGCTGTAGGACAGGCAAAGAATCAGATGCTGCCTCAGAGTGCATTTAAGGGACTCGTAATGTTGAACAGCCTACATTTCTCTTGCATTAAGTTCATGATGAAGGTTTCCTCATCAAATGAACAAGACTTCATGAACTGTGACTGCACAAGTCATTTTTGGCTATTACACTCAGCTGAGTGCTGCTGGTTGAGCAGTTTATGTTCAGTTATATATTCAAGCAGAGACTTGCTCAATGTGTTCAGCTAAAAATTCTGAACATTGTGTAAGTCAGTAATTTTAGTAGCCTTAAATGAATTAAAATATGGAAGTACATTAGGGGTAGATGAAGAATAAACCATGAGAAATTCAGTCACAGTTTAAGAAAGAAAGGTAAAAAATCCTGAAAAGCAAGCAGGTATTTATTGTCCTTTTTTTTTTTTTTTTTTTTTTGGTAGCTAAATATTTGGTAGCTAATTCTCCAATGGACATAATCAGTTTGCTGCAGTTTTCTGGGGGACAGGCCTTGGAAGCAGAATCTTATTTACAACAGAAAACACATTGCACCAGGAGTAGCCATGATACATTCAGAGACCAAACCTACAATTAGTGAGACATTTTGTGAATCTGTCATTTATAAAAGAATGTCCTATGAAAATTCAAACATCAGCAGGCCTTGGGTAGGTGTGGTGGTGCATCCCCACTCCCCCCTTTTGAGTGACATTAAAACCCCACTTGTGAGAGTAGGCAACTTGTAAATATAACTCTAAATATTAATATGTATTCTTTCTGGAGGAATGAGAATCTGAAAAAGGACAATCCTATGTGCAGCCACACTTCTCCAAAAGGAGACAGAGCTACCAAAGTCACTCCAAGATGATGAAAATAACTTCTAGAATATTTTACATCCAACAGTCTAGTATTCTCTACATTTCCAAGTGTCTCTAAAAGTTATAGTTATTTTAAAGAGGGATAAAAAGTTTTTATTCATACATTCATTCTCATTTTTTGTTATATTGTTGACATCCAAAATTAATTCTGATATTTTTTGCATATTGCTGTTAATTTCTGATGCTTGGAGAGTCACTCTACCTTTATGGCAGCTATCATCAACTACTTCTCAATATATGAAATTTATGAAGCAGAATCCTATAGAAAAATGTCAAACCATGTTAAATTCCTGTATGATCCTTGATGATCTGCCAGCATGCCTGATCCATTTCCAGCTATGTGCCCTGGTTAATAAATAAACAGTTCCTGTAAAACTTCTCTTTTCTCCTGCTGTCCTAACCCTCTGTGTTGTTTGAAGAAATCCATATAACATTTCAGTCAGGATCTCTTCTCTTAAGAGAACATTAGTAGTGGTTTAGGTCTGAAATTTTTAAATGAAGCAAAACTTTTTGCTAGTGAAGTTTTTGGCAAAATATTTTTCCATGTATTGCACAGTCTGCTATCGTCATGATCAGCACAGATTTTTTAAGTCCCAACAGCCTGGTCTCCCATGAGTGAGAAATTTCACTTCTCCAAATGAAGTGAAGGATAAGGTATGGGATTTAGCGAATAGAAATCATTCACTCACTATTGAGTGCTTTTCTACTTCTTTCCTTGGCAAATATGAAAAAAAAATACATCTTTCATTGTGCTTGGTAGTACAGACATGTACCAACTGAGAGATGGACTACACCTCCCAAAACCTTTTCAGAAGTTGCCACTGAATTTTATGAGTGCTGACATTAAAAGAAAATAGCCATCTTGATCTGCATCTGTATAACTTCTGCAAGATAGCATTAACCAATTCCATATAAATTAAAAACTGACTTGGGATTTACTGTTATATTTAATATTATTCAATGTTATCTGTAAAAATCATATTTAACATATTTTAGACAGATAAACTGCTAGTTTAGTTTCTACATGATCTGCTTTTCTACACTTCTGTATGGTGCAGAGGAGGGAAGCACAGGGCTCCTCCCTCAGGACAGACCTGCCTACGCTTGGTTTAGTGGTAGTACAGCACAGGAGAGTCCCCAGCTGGTCACAGGTAGTGTGGGATCATTTCCCAGCATATTTCACACCCAAACGTGTGTGGGATGGCATCAAAACCTGCACTCTCCAGGACTATGCAAGGCAGCTCTTTGTCAAATCTCATTTTTTCCCTCTGCTAATGAGAGGGGAAAGCAAATTCAGAACAGGAGCCCACACTTCAGGCTTGCATGGGAGGTGCCTCTCCTTTTGGATGAACACTGCCAGGATTGGCAGCCCGAACACATTTTTTCCTATAGGCTTTGTGACCTTTTAGCAACTTGTAAATCCCAGTTTATACCAAAATATTATGGTGATACCTTTTGCTAATTCCAAGTATTTATAAATGAGGATGGAATACCTTGTTACCAGAAAAGAAAGCACAGATCAATATATCAGGGAAGGACCTGAGCAGAGCAACAATCACAGTACAAATGTCAGAGCTGAGCAATTTCCACACAAACAGAAGGAAGCTGCCATTGGCAAAGAATTCCAGACTCCCAGGGCCAGAGTGAGCTGTGAGCATTGCTCCAGCCCCATGGTCACCCCGTGGGGAGCAGGGGCTGTGACACCCCCAGGGCTGTGACACCCCCAGGGACTGTGGCACCCCCAGGGCTGTGACACCCCCAGGGCTGCTGTGACACCCCCAGGGCTGTGACACCCCCAGGGCTGTGACACCCCCAGGGCTGTGACACCCCCAGGGCTGCTGTGACACCCCCAGGGCTGTGACACCCCAAGGGCTGTGACACCCCAAGGGCTGTGACACCCCCAGGGCTGTGACACCCCCAGGGCTGTGACCCCATCAGGGGCTGTGGCACCCCCAGGGCTGTGACACCCCCAGGGCTGTGACACCCCCAGGGCTGTGACACCCCCAGGGGCTGTGACACCCCCAGGGCTGTGGCACTCCCAGGGCTGTTACACCCCCAGGGCTGTGACACCCACAGGGCTGTGACACCCCCAGGGCTGTGACACCCCCAGGGCTGTGACCCCACCAGGGGCTGTGACACCCCCAGGCTGATATCCCAGCTCTGCCTTTACAAACAGTGACTCCCCAGGAACACAAAGCTGAACACTTCCAAGCAACCCCCACGTCCCTTTCACAAATGAAACAGCTCAAGTTAGGAACTTCTATTTCACAAGGAAATGCAGAAACTCTTTTTTTCTGTTTAGTTTGCAACTTCCTAGAAGAAAAGGAGGAAATAAGATGCAATGTTTGTATCCTGTAATTTGCAGAGCCCATGATTTCACATTCTCTCACCAGAACATCACAGAGGTGTGATAGATGACCACAGCTTCTCTTGTGACACACACAGCTGAGGCATGGGGTTGGTTCTTGCATGAGAATGAGGAGAAATGCAACTCTCACTCTTGCAATTCGAGTGTTGTGTCACAGGATGAAAAGTAAACTTTTTTAAAGGTAGGAGGGCCAGCTATTGCAACAAGGCTGCTTCCAGATTTTCACACCAAAGCCATTATTTCTTCTTGAAACCAACTCATTAGTAAAACACTTCTGCATCTCATCTACAACTTAAGACAGACAATTTCAAGTGAAATTAGCCTCAGATACATTTGTAGCTCAGTTATCACCTTATTTAGTCAGAGTTTGTCCAGTCTAGACTTCCATCCTGCTCTTCTGACCATCTATTCATTTTATGTCAAATTCCAATATTCAGTTAGAGTTACAGCCTCTGCAATCTAAAGTATTAATCAGCAATTTTGAAATAGCATAGAATATATTTAATTTGAAAATTGGTGAGACTGTTAAATAATCACTCTGAGTAACAAATTTGTGTATTCTGAGATTTTGAAATTTGATAAGAATAAATGGGAGAT